AGCAGCAATCTAGTCCTTCCAGGTAACTGCCCCAGTTTATAACTGGGCATGATGTGCTGTGGTATGGAAAGCCTCTTTGGTTAGTTTGGATTAGGTGTCCTGTCTCTGCTTCCTCCCAGTCCCCAGCAAAGCATGAGACTGAGAAAGTCCTTGTTCGGAGTAAGCATTACTTAGCAACAACTAAAAGCATCGATGTTATCAGGGTTGTTCCAGGATGAAAGTCAAAAACACAGCACTGCACGAGCTACTAAGGAGAAAAATGACTGCTACTGCTGAACCCAGGACAATAGATCATCTGTAAACAGTGTATTTAGAGCTGAAATATTTGACTTTGCATTAGAATGGTTGAAATAAAACCAGTCAGACAGGATCAGTTCTCATACAGAACACTAAGGCTATGAGACAATTTAAGAAACAATTCCTTTTGCTGCTTATTTTTAATTGATGCCTCACAGCTAAGGCTGTCTGTGCCACAATTTGGACATGAGACTACATGATCAGAAGACTCAATAAGAGCAAGTGCTGCAGACAGGCTGGACCAAATATGCATTCACAAATGATGGGGGAATTACTGGTGTCGTTCTTCCACTAGGAAAGAATTGGTGAATTTTTTACTTGCTCCATCTACATTCTCTATACAGTCGCTCCTCATGAGAGGGGCACAAATGCTACTTTCAGCAGCATCCATGAAAGGATTTCTTTATGGAGGACGTATTTTCCAGAGATAAATCAATTTAAGCAATGTTCTAAGGTTGCTGAGCAGCTTTAAACCATAGAACACAGCTTGATGCCTGTATTGTGTCATATTAACATCAAAATAAGTGCTTATTAAAGGTAGTTTTTTCTTTGAAACTAAAATACTTACATTTGGTGATGTTCAGGAAATGGTCCAAACATAAAGTATTGCTTTTGGAAAGATAAGAAAAGAAGATCAAATCCCAAATGTGTTTTGAAATCTGACAAAGGGTCTTTTGTTCTTTGAGTTCTGATGGCCACCACTAACTTTGAGCTATTTTGTAGAAATCTAACATGCTAATACGTGCTAATACTTTTTTTTTTTTTTTTACCTTTTTTTTTTTAATATGGAAAAAAAAAAAACATTTCTGGCAAGGCAGGAAAAGCACTGTAATTTTGTCACTACATACATGGCGTATTCAGAGTTCTACAATTTCTCTCTACTAACCATGCTCTGTATCCGAAAAAGCTTCAAAAACCAGTTACGTCCACTGTTCAGTTTCTATTTTTAACTGAAAGCTAAAGATTACAAACTCTGGGAAAATTATGTCAAATATATTAGCTGAAAAGAAACCTTACAATTTTTGTAGAATGGTTCAATTTAAAAATTCTAAACTAAACTTTGAAATTGGCAGTCACTCATCCATAATTTTAAGAAAGAAAATATACAGTGCAAAAATGGGTTTCTTTAATAAGGTCTGAATTTAGGAGACAAGAAAAAAAAACCTCAAACCAGCCCCCAAAACCCCACCTCTATCATCCCATAGTCTGTGTTAGGTACCAAATAAAATTATATGATATAAACAACAGTAAGGACATGTTAGAATTGTGTTATGGTCTGATTAAACTGAAAATTAAGCACGAAAAAGCAGACACCTGTGGGGAGGACTGTAAATGGCTGTCTGTGATATTGTCTCTATGAGACTTATGCTTTAATTTAGGTTGAGGGTAGTCTTATAAACATTAATAGACTAAATTCAGCAGGGGAGTAAGCCACTGTATGGATAAGGCCTATGCTGACACTTAGCTACGGTTTAATTATAGAGTGACCCTTTGGGTCAAGAGATACTGTTTGAACTCCTAAATGCAGGTTAAGGGGAAAAATAATAATGCTATGAGTACGGAGCAAATAACAGAAGCTTGCTACAACCTGCAAGAAATTGAGAAAATAACACTGTTCTTATGTTAATATGGAAGATTACTCTGTGGCTTTTATCTTCCTGATTCTTTCATAGACTTGTTTTATTTGTGATGCTTTTAAACTCAGTCTGTTATGTAAATGTTTTCCAAAAAATGTTTTCATAGGAAATAAATCATGTTCTGTTCTTTAGGTCAGTCAGTTAAAATCATGATTAAAAATGGCATGATATCAAAAGCTACTGCCACATGTATGCTACCTGCAGTCTGGATACAGCCACATATCTTGTCTTTTTAACAAAGTAGATTGTTAGATGGCAGAAAGGTTGAATTTTGAACACTTCTATGAAGTTCATGTCAAAAGAAATGCTAATTACTCTGCAAGCTAATTGGGTCATGAGACCTGCATTGGAGTGGACCTGAGCAATTGGAGTGGGGAGATTTGGGTGATTCAAGCTGTGTAGTTAAATATCCCAGCTCCTAAATGAAATGGCACCTGTGACTGTGACCTGCTGGAAAAGTATTTCTGTAAATGAAGTCCTTGAAAACAACCAAAAAAAGATATCTAATCAGTATCTTCATTATTATATCAGTAATAATAACCCAGGTACTTTTCTTCAGTACATAAAGGCATAGACTTTTTGATCAAAATATACTAGAGCATGGATGTAGTATGATTCTTCCAGCTCTAATTCAGCTGAAAGCTAAAGGTATCTGTATCTACAGTGAAGCCTGGATGAAACAGGCAATGCTGCTCGTTCATGTAATGGGCACTCCATTTTTCTCACTGACTTCAAGAAAAAAATACTGTTTTAATTTAAGGATTTCTAATCTTTCTTTTCTGACTGATGCTCATCCCACAATCTGCCTGGAAAGCACTGCTATTCTGTGGCTGGAAGAATAGGGTAATACTTTCTACATATCAATGATTATCTAGTGTTTGAAAAATTGCTTCTTTTCAGAGCCCTCCTTATGGGTCAGGCCTGGGATTCCTTGTATCATTTAGAAGTGGGGTGCTAGCTATAAGCCCTACAAAGCTAAGACAAACACCTTCTTCTTGATGAGCCCCACCATAGCTGGGCTGCTAGACTGCCCTCACAGAAACTGTCTGTCTGATATAAAACCTGGGTTAGATGACAGAAAACACCAAAGACAGAGGCGTGCCTAAAACACTTGTTTGCTGCATGGCCTCATATCCACAATTGTGGATGGAAAATTCTTCAGTGAAGATTTAGACCATTAAACTCACCTTTTCTGCTTGGGCTCCTGAAAACAGTCAGTGGCACTACCCACTCAGGAAGTTGGAGAAGAGTATGTTGCCCCTTCTGTGAGGGAGCCTGTTTCTGTCAGGGAGTCTTGGGTTTTGCAGAGGAGATGGGGTTGCTCAGGTCTGGCCAGAAAAAAAGAGAGTTTGGATGGTTTTGATCCAAATCAAGTCATCTGTCAGGCTGGAATAGCGAACATGAGCACAAATGCTCATATTTCATCATGTAATTGGTGCTGTAAGAAATATTGAGGTTAAAATTTCTGTAGAACTGGTTAACTCTATTTTGTTTCCACCCTACCTTTCTTCAGTCACCAAAACCAAAACATAACCTGACCAGTCTTATTAATTTGTATTGCTTAATTTCAGTTCTGTAACACAAAAAGAGAAATGTTACAGAAGCATCTTTCTTAAATTCTATCTTTTTATGAATAGCTATTGTTCAAGAGTTTTGTTGCTCTTGTGCTGATGGAAATGAAACCACATAAAAGTGTCATTTGTCCTTAAATATAGAGAAGAAAGAGGGAAAAAAATACGCAAAGAAATACACAGTGTTCTGTGAAACTAAAATGCCTTTTTTTTTTTTACTGGGTATAATAAGTATAATCCTGTTTCAGAAACTGTTTAGTGAAAATTATGTCTAGATGTTTTATATGTATTTTTAAACACCTAAATAAGTTTTTACAGTCCAGAATCTCAGCTGTGAGAAGAATCACCTTAGCAATGTACTTAAGAAGAGCAAAGGCTGCATGCGGCATACAGAAACTGCAGAAGAAACACAAACTGTGACATCATTCTAATGGCAATTTTTTTCCAGAGGTCTGTTAAAAATTTTTAGACAGAAGACAACTGTCATTACTGGATTTATCAACAGTGCTGTTGTAGTTTGACTCCAGCCAGCAACTAAGTACCATGCAGCCGCTCACTCCTCCCCCCTCAGTGGGATGGGGAGGAGATCGGAAAAAGATAAAACCCATGGGTCAGGATAAGAATAGTTTAATCATAGTAACAACAACAATAACAACAATAATATAGGAAAAAGAGAGAATCAGGAACAAAATTCAGGGAACACAAGTGATGCACTATACACTTGCTCACCACCTACTGATGGATACCCATCTCATTCCCAAGCACCAATTGGAGGCTTCTGGCCCACTGCCCCCAGTTTATATACTGGGCATCATGTGCGGTGGTATGGAATATCCCTGTGGCTAGTTTGGGTCAGGTGACCTGTCTCTGCTTCCTCCCAACTTTCCATGCTCCTTCTCACTGACAGAGCACGAGACTGAGAACTCCTTGATCAGAGTAAGCACCTCTTAGCAACAGCTAAAACATGGGTGTGTTATCAGCATTGTTCTCAGACTAAAGCCAAAACACAGCTCCGCACCAGCTACTAGGAAGAAAACTATCTCTATCCCTGTTGAAAATAGGACAAATACTATTTTTTATTTGAATGAAACTTGTACAAATGCTGCTACAGTTGCTTAATTTTATGGATATTGAACCTGTTTCATTAATATGCATGTTGACTGAATAACTGCCTATGAACCTTCTAAATTGTGCTTCTAATCGCACCAGTGTTAAATATTAACTAGGAACCTAACTATATCATTCAGTCACATTCTCTTTTTCCTAGCTTATCATTATAAGTGGGTTTATAGGAACAGTCCTTTTTCATGATAATTTCATTTATCATTAATAAACACATTCCTTATGATTGTTACTTACTTAGCTGTATGTAGCAGTACTTCCACCATGCAGTTAGGTAAAAGCAATTTTCAGTGGAGGTCAGGTTTGGGAGTGTGCCTTCTAGTAAACATTCTGCTTCAGAGATTTTGTGCTATCTTTTCTTTCTCTTCTTCAGGGAATATTTGTCCTAGGATTGCCATATGCTCTTCTCCACAGTGGATACAGTGGCCTGTTTCTTATTATCTTGGCTGCAGCACTATGCTGTTACACAGGCAAGATTCTGATCTCTTGCCTGTATGAAGAAAATGAAGATGGGCAACTGATAAGAGTGAGAGACACAAATGAAGGTATTGCAAATGCCTGCTGCAAAAGGCTACCTCCCAAACTAGGTGGCATAGTTGTCAATGTAACCCAGGTGATGGAACTGATCATGACATGTATTTTGTATCTGGTTGTCAGCGCGAACTTGCTGTCATATAGTTTTCCATATGTACCAGTAACTGAGAAAACTTGGTCTGTAATTGCATTTGTTACACTGTTGCCTTGTGTATTTATCAAAACGCTCAAAATTGTTTCCAAACTCAGCCAGCTTTGCTCCCTGGTCCATTTCATTATAATACTTGTAGTAATGACTTACTGTCTCACACAAATACATCAGTGGTCCTGGGCAAAATTCAGACTCTCTGTTGAGTTTGAGGACTTCCTGGTCTCTGTAGGGCTGATCATTTTCAGTTACACTTCACAAATATTTCTTCCCACACTTGAAGGTAACATGAAAAACCCAGGGGAATTTAGTTGTATGCTGAATTGGACTCACCTTTTTGCTTGTGTCTTGAAAACAACCTTTGCACTGACAGCATTCTTGACCTGGGGTGAAGAGACAAAGGAAATTATTACTGACAACCTGCCATCATTTCTTGAAACCCTAGTGAATTTGTGTCTCTTAGCCAAGGCTCTTCTTTCTTACCCTTTGCCCTTTTTTGCAGCCACAGAAATTGTGTATGCTTGTATTTCTAGAGAAAACCATTCCAAATACAGATCTCCGCTATTTTCTCTGGGTGTAAGAGGCTCGTTTCTCCTGTTAACTCTGCTGATGGCCATGTTCGTACCACATTTTGCCGTGTTGATGGGTTTAACAGGCAGTGTAACAGGTGCTGCTATGACTTTTCTTCTTCCTTCCCTCTTCCATTTAAAACTTAAATGGGAAAAACTATCCTTCTTAGAGAAATGTGCAGATATCTCTGTTTTTACTTTGGGTTTCCTTTGTAGCCTTGCAGGCATAGTTTGCTCAATAAAAAGGTTGCTCGAAGTGTTTGGAGGAGTGTAAAAAGATTTCCAGAAATCCAAATAAGGCCCAAATCTTGTAAATGCTTTTACTCTTTTAGTCAGTATATAAGGTATTTTGTCACTAGGCAAAAATAAGTATATGTTTAAATGTTTGCCACATCAATGTTTTAACTGTATAAGTATGTGGCTCAAAGAAATTTGGAAAATAACCTTCATAGCCAAAAAGTACAAAATTGTCCCTATCTAAAATACTGAGAGGAAAAAAGGTTTTGAAGTGGTTTATCATGAAAACAATTTTAAACTAATCCTATATGGTTTTGTTCATACATGACATGCCATCCTAAAATGGTTGCTGCAAATGATCCCACCAATTTAACCAGAATTTCTCAACAGGGTTAGATACTGTTCAGTGGCAAAGCTACCAAACCTAGATATCATAGAGTATGATAGTATGATAGAGTTTCTGAGAGCTATCATTGCAAACAGATGAGGTATGACTTCACATTATTAGCAGAATGTAATTCAATGTGTGAAGAGAATAAATCAGTTAATTCAATTTTTTATGTAAGATAAGTTCTACCACTTGTATTTTAAATGAGTAGGCAAAAAGAGAACTGTTTACAACAGCTTTGAAAGCCTGATTTTATCATGAGCTCAAATGCAAATAAAGTCAGAGTAAAATGGGCATCCTAACAGCTCACAGTCACAGAAAAGGGAATTTGTTCTGAAAGAAGCTATAACCAATGACTGCAGCTTTTCTGCAAGTCTAATTCCAAAGATTCATGCCTCTGCAATGCAGTTATTCTATTGGTTGGCTTACAAGAAGTCCCATTGGTAGCATGAGAAAGTTAATAAGCAGTTCACTTTCTCCCTTAGGCAGGAAATTTCTTTGATCTTCATATTTTATCTGATGATATTAAAAGCTCAGTGAAGTAAATCAAGTTCAATAAACAGACACACAGTTAACTTCCTGTACAATTTGTTAGATCTTTAGCTTTTAAAGATACTGGCTTAATGAAAAGATCAACATTGTAATGTATTTCACATTAGTGATAAAACATTATAAGAAGCAGCAATCTAATCAGAGTACTCTAATGAATACATATCATGTTATTGTACTAAATCTAGGTTATATTAGTTAATTAACTAATGATTTGAATGAATAAAGTTTACATTTTCACTACAAATAATTTCAGTCAACCTTCTACTGCATCATATGAAAAAGTCTTTACATGTAAACATAAGACTGGATTATAGACTAAAAAGCCCAGTAGTCGTCGCATAACTGAACTGTTTTTCTATGTAGTATCTTAGCATTAACACTTCTGTCCTGTGTGAGCAGCAGTGACCACTCAAGGCTAATTTGCTGAATGACAAATACCATGCAATTAAACTTCGGAGGAGTTCTGGTAAACCTTGTGTGTCACCCTGTTACTTTGCCTTCTAATGAATGCTTGTAGTGTGGAAGAGTGATTAAAATTTTATTAGAACACATTAATTGCGTAATTACAAGTATATTAAGAAAACTGAGGAAATAACTAGTCTCTTAGAACTTGTATCACTTCTTTGGTACAATGGATCAAATTCTGCAGTCAAATCCACAACAGTTTATTGATTTTGAGATTTGTGCTGAAACAAATAGGAGGTATATTTTTTAAGGAGTCTTTATTTTTGTGCAGAATGACAAAAATACATTACTCATTCAAGTAATTGAAAGCTTGTTATTACCCCTATGACACAGTCAGAAGAAAATTATTATTGGATGATGACAATGAAAGGGTATCATTAATTTTTGTGTGGAGAAGCTCCACAGATAAATAAACATCCAGAGCAATATTTGTTCTATTTATCCTATATAAATCTCTGAGAACAGAGGAAGGCTGTCCAGAGAGTTTTGTAAAAGCTATCTCAGCTACTTTACTTAAAAACTCCCCACAAATAATTCACCATTTTTCCCCATCTTTTATTTAATGTGTTTTATCTCTAACTGTTCAGAAATTCTTCGAATTACCTCAGTGCATTTGCTAGAAATGGGAAATCTAAGAAATGGGATAAGCACTTTATTTGTATGGCAGTTTTAGAAATTCTCTAGCTCATCAGTGTTTTTCACTTTCTTCTCTCAGCCTTTTCAAGAAGACAATGTCTATTCCTTTCAAGCCTAAGATGATATTTTCCCCACACAAACTACTGTATGAGGAAATGGTGGTGTGAGGAAATGATTGTGAAAGAGCATGAGCTCTCTCACTTATGCAAGGTCTTTCCAACAAGGGGATACGATTCATTTTTTGTAAGACATACTATTATTGTCCTTATTTGATCATTTACATAGTCTTAGTTAACATCAGGGAACTTCAAGAACTATGATTAACAAGTAAATATGACTGTAAATGCACAAAAGTGAAAGTTATCCAAGTGCAAAACCTCAAGAAGTCACTTAGCAGAGGCTACTAGATTAAGAAAGAAAATACAGTTTAATATTCCATTTTCGTGGCCAGCAATCAGCAATTTTGAAGTATGCTATTGTTGTGGGACACAAAAGCTGTATGAGCTTCCCTTTAAAGCCATGGCCAGACATCGTCATAAGAAATTATTTTCTGGGGACAAGATTAAAAGAACCTTCCAATTCAAAAAGGCAGAGATAGACTTACACACCCTACAGTTCCAGTCTGAAAGTGGGGGTTGGCACATGACAAAGACAAAAATTAATATTCATGATATAAGGATGACTCATAGGGTTTAATTTCCTAAAACACACAATTGCATATTTTTAGATATAGACTTATTCCTGACACTTTCCACTGACAAAATTCCATTAATAATGTACATAAAATACTTGCAACTGTCTATATTAGACGTTAAAATACCATCTATAGAATATGTTAAGAGACTCTAGAAAGGTGGTATTACTGTCAGGTATGAACCGGGAAGCTCTGTATTTATCTGTAAAATGACTACCGGGAATTTTTGTTACTGAATTTATGTTAACAATCATCGGAATCACTGAAGCTAGAAAAGTAAAGGATTGACTCAATATTAATGTGTTGTGACCAATCCTGTATTATTGTAATATGATGTTCCTTTATCAAAATTAATTCTGAAAGCAAACAACCAATAGCAATGAACATGAAGAAAATGCTAAGGTACAAAATATGTGTTGAAATAAAACATTTTCAAACCGTCTTGCTTCACTTGTTTTTCCGGCAAAATTATAAAGGAACCTGTTTCTTTTCATCAAGAATATCACAAGCATAGGCCAAAATGATTGTCCAGTTTTATAGGGAATGCAGTGTCATCACCAAACCCTGAATTCTTAGTTCTGACAATAGTGATGCAGACTTAAATCAATCGAATTACTCTAAAATTAAAATATAGGCTCAACTAAGGTATCTCTTTCAAGTAAACTGAGGAACTTCAAGTGTTTATTTATAAAATAAATAAAATAATAATAAAAATAATTTTAAAAGGGCTTATAAAACGTGGAAGCAAGGACAGGAGTCCCGAGAGGAATACAGGGATGTTATCTGGGAAGCTAGGGACCAGGTTAGGAAAGCTAAGGCCCAGTTAGAATTAAACTTGGTTAGGGATATTAAGGATAACAGGAAGGGATTCTACAGGTACATAGCAAATAAAAAACAGACTAGGGAGAACGTAGGCTCCCTCAGGAAGCTCTCGGGTGAACTAGCTACACAGGATTTGGAGAAGACTGAGGTTCTCAATGACTTCTTTGCCTCAGTCTTCACTGGCAAAGGCTCTGACTGCACCACCCAAGTCTTGGAAGGCAGATGCAGGGATTGTGAGAATGAAGACCTTGGGCCCACTGCAGGAGAGGATCTGGTTCGAGACCATCTTAAGAACCTGCATGTGCACAAGTCCATGGGTCCTGATGAAATCCATCTATGGGTCCTGAAGGAGCTGGCAAATGAAGTTGCTAAGACACTGTCCATCATATTTGAAAAATCATGGCAGTCAGGTGAAGTTCCTGACAACTGGAAAAAGGGAAATATAACCCCCATTTTCAAGAAGGGGAAAATGGATGACCCGGGGAATTACAGACCAGTCAGTCTCACCTCTGTGCCTGGCAAAATCTTGGAGCAGATTCTCCCGGAAGGCATGCTAAGGCACATGAAAAACAACAAGGTGCTTGGTGACAGCCAGCATGGCTACAGTAAGGGGAAATCCTGCCTGGCCAATTTGGTGGCCTTCTATGCTGGGGCTACAGAACTGATGGACAGGGGTAGAGCAGTTGATGTCATCTCCCTGGACTTGTGCAAAGCTTTTGACTCTGTCCCACATGACATCCTTGTCTCTAAATTACTCTATTTAGGGTAATTTAGTCCTCTATTACTTGCAGAAGGAAGTTGTCTTCCACACAATCAAGGAACCTCCTGGATTGCTTGTGCTGGGCTGTACCATCATTCCAACAGATGTCAGGGTGGTTGAAGTCACCCATGAGAATGAGGGCCTCTGAGTGTGAGGCTTTTCCTATCTGTCTATAGAGTGCTTCATCCGCAGGCTCTCCTTGATCAGGCGGTCTGTAACAGATCCCCACAGTAATGTCTCCCATAGCTGTTTTCCCTTTAACCCTGACCCACAAACTCTCTGTTAACTGATCACCTGTCCCCAGGCAGAGTTCCATACTCTCCAGCCTATCCCTAACATAAAGGGCAACTCCCCCTCCCTGTCTGCCGGGCCTGTCTTTTCTAAAGAGCCTAAACATCTTTGTCGCTGACATGGACAGTGGGATTGAGTGCGCCCTCAGCAAGTTTGCCAATGACACCAAGCTGTGTGGTTCGGTTGATACGCTGGAGGGAAGGAATGCCATCCAGAGGGACCTTAACATGCTACCTGTACAAAACCCACTTTGCATTTACTGGTTGTCCTCTGAAAGTTTTTGTATGAAAATGCAATAAATAAGATGTTTTTCAAGTGTTTCATTAAATCAAGTTTCAAATTTCAGTATTTTTGCAGAACTTCAGCATTTTAAAAACTGATATCTGATTTCTAGAAATCACTTTTCCATTTGTTGTGCATCATTATTAATTATCTTGATGGCGTATTTGAAAATATTTATCTTTCAAAATTGAGTAGAAATGGAAGTAAATCTCAAAAAATATGTTGATAGTATGCTGACATTTAGTTGTCCCAAGAGCTCATGTGGGAAATAAAATGTTGGAAATTTTATTGTATTCTGTAGTAGCTGGCAATGAATTTAAAAATACACAGTTTGAAAACCACTTATGTATTTTTGTCCACTGCTTAAGTATTTGTCAAGCTGTTGCCACTTTGAAGTTAACTGTTTTTTCATTCTTCTGTGGTGTCATTACATTTTTTATTTGGTCA